ATGGCTAAACTATTAGTTTTCGTCTTCCGCATTTCTGTTTATTTTAATCATTCCGCTGTTGATCACCTGTTATATTGAACTGTTAGAAAGGCTAAGCAAAAAGGTTAATGAATCTACAATACTCGGCTTGCTAGCTTTCATGAGTAGGTGCCATCACGACTCCCGAGAAAAATATTTATAAAATATTATGGACTATTATATAGTAAAGACATAACAAAAGTTAATAAATATGTACTTAAATGAAAAATTTATTAAAATTAACTATCATAGCAGTCTTAGTGGATAACGTGCAATAATTTTTATTCTTATTATGACATAAAAAACTTTCAACTTAATGATTTATGATTAAGAAAAAAGTGATTTTGAATAGTCAACGATTTATTAAGAAAATTTGAGGATTTACAAGGTTAGTTATATACAATTGCGTAAAGTCCTATTAGGCGAGTCTAGTACGTTGGACGTATCCGCCCCGCTGGCCGAGACGTAAATCTCACGAAACTAAGCCCCACACATAAGTTCAGAGGCATTTTACGAGTGCTTCGCTTCGGGGCGAACCCCAATTTTGTCTTATAAAAATGAGGTTGAGTTTCACAACCAAGAAAATGAATAAAATCGAAGCACATCCCCTTTCTCTCACCAAAAATTTAGTCACGACAAATATGGTGCCACGTCATAGAGGCAGTAGATGTTAAAATCACTTGACAGAAAACAGAGACGCCTTTTATCAATCCACGTTTCGTATTTGGTCCTCATCGTGCCGCTAAACGTTAATCGGTCACGAATAAAACGCGTAACTACATGTCACTCTAGTACCCTGCTTTCATCAACTTTTCAGTATTATAAATTAGAACCATCGTCTTGTGTCTAGGTTCTTCAATTGGAATCTTCACTCTACCAGTAATCACACTGTCTTAATCTGGTAACACTTACCTTTCTCTCTCATATCTCTATACATTTTTTCTTCAACTTTAGGGTTTTTTTATGCTCTTCATTTCTTGATCGCAGTGTGAATCCTTTCATATTTAGAAATTACTTGAAAACTACTAGTATAAAGGATGAATTTCTTTTGTTGTTGATAATATTTTATTAATGCTATACAAAATTGTAACAAATAAACAAGTGTTGATTTAGCATATGAATGTTGTGAATTAAGCTTGAAAAATGGTAGATTTACTTGGCGGTGTCAGCTGATATTGTTTCAAGTGAGGATAGAAAGAGATGAAAGGAGGAATTTTTAATTTTTGGGTGAAACTGGATAAAAAGAGATAGTAGTGTTGATGGAGGGGTAAGGTCTGCATACATAGTACCCTCCCCAGATCTCACTTGTGGGATTGCACTGGGCTGTTGTTGTTGTAATAGTGTTGATGATATTGTCAAATATTTGATATTTTACAAAATGAATTCAAATCCAGTGGAGGCAAGAAAACACTAGGTCATTTCTCACATCCGCCTAAGCCTTGACAGGCAGAGTTATGTATTAGTGGGAGTAGCATGTAGCCAGCCAGTGGAATAGTCCCGGTGCGCAATCTGGCAGGATGCTACCGTCATCAAAAAGAATGAAATCTAGAATATCGATCAACTTAAACATATGACTTTATCAACAACAAATTGTTCGCATGAGGGTGGGTGGGATTTTCCACTTTTTAAAATTAAGGGTATTGTTTAATGTTTGGACTGTGTGAATGAGTTCTTCTAAGTCATGATTTATGTCATGTAGGGGTTTTGTGATAAAAATTACTGAATACTTTTGTATGATTTATGTTTTTGTTATGTATCTTGAGATTCATTGAAGTATCTGTTATTGTCATTAAAGTAGAACATGGCGGAAGCTAGTGCACCAGCTGTCCCAAGTAATGAGTTGTTGGAGTGGCCAAAGAAAGATAAGCGCAGGATCTTGCATGCCGTGTATCGCGTCGGTGACCTTGACCGTACCATCAAGTATGTGGTTCAACATAATGAGATCCTTTACAAAGTGTTGATCTTGTTTTTGTGATCAGATAATAGTGGAATTTTTTTCCTTCTTTTTTTCTAGGTTTTACACAGAATGTTTTGGAATGAAGTTATTGAGGAAGAGAGATATCCCAGAGGAGAAATACTCTAATGCTTTTCTTGGTTTTGGCCCTGAAGAGTCGCAGTTTGTGGTGGAGTTGACATATAGTAAGTTAAAAGCTTTTGTATGTCTGTTAGAACTTACATTTGGATTCTTAATTCTAGATATAGCCCCTGTCTAGTTCATAAAAGAAAAATAGGGAGGTTGGCCATCTCTATGGACTTCACCATGTGATAAGCTTCTCTAAAGACAGTGTGAGTTTTGAGATTTAGTCTCTCGTCTTAAAACTCCTTCTCTGAAGATTACATGGATTGGTGTTCTTGCTTTGTTATCTGAGTTTTCTTTTCTCTTTCTTGGGGTGTGTTTGGGGGGGAGGGGGGTAGAGGATAAAGTATGAGACTTAGCTTACCGTTCCTCCAATAGGGAGCCTCTTGGAGAAGGGGATGCCAGGAGAGGACTTGATTTACTGAACCAAAAGGTGCATTATTTGGTTAAGGGAGCATATATTTTAAATAGTTTACTGATTATGCCACATCAATAATTGAACTGTATACTGTACCTTGAAGTGTAATTTTCAAATCTGACATAAATAGCATTATACAGATTATGGAGTTGATAAGTACGACATTGGAACTGGCTTTGGGCATTTTGCTATTGCGACACCAGATGTAAGTGCTTTTTTGTTAGCAAAATCATGTGGCGCCATTTTTTTCTTCTAAATGTGCTATCTTTGCTTCTTTTCTTAAGGTTTACAAACTAGTTGAGGAGATAAAGGCCAAGGGTGGAACTGTCACAAGGGAGCCTGGTCCTGTCAAGGGTGGATCTACTGTTATTGCTTTTGTCAAAGATCCTGATGGCTACCTCTTCGAAATCCTCCAGCGAGCGTCTACTCCTGAACCACTTTGCCAAGTGATGCTTCGTGTGGGTGATCTTGAGCGCTCCATCAAATTCTATGAAAAGGTGACCTTTTCTTACCGATATTTGCTCTTTACAGATATTATCGTGTATGTCCTGGATTTTCCAAATGCAAAGTTCATACAGAAATTTCTAGCATGAACTGTGAAGAAAAAGAGAATGCTTGCCATTTTTGTGGACATATGCATTTATCTCAAATCTAGTTTATACAATACAGTAGAGGCAATACAATGAAAAAATTTGATCCCATAACCAAACTGTGAATAACATTGGGTTAGACCTGTTTGGTGGGATAAATCCTTACTTTTCTTTTAGCTTAAACAATGTGGGCCTAAATTGGTTCAAGATACACCCACTATGACAGCAATTCAGAAAGAGGATAATTGCATTGTGTTCGTATTTGTTGCTCAAGATATATAGGTCAGGTTGTTACTCCGTGTCAACATGTTATTATAATTATGTATGTTTATGTATTTGTTTATCTACAAGTGTAGTGTGCAATTAGTGGTAATTTGACAGAGTTTGTCTTTGAATGCAGGCACTCGGGATGCAACTGGTGAAGAAAGTTGACAGACCAGAGCAGAAGGCATGTTTGATTAGTCTCTTGCCAGCCTTGGAGCTCAAATTACATATACAATATGACTGACGCTTATCTTTTATGCTTGTGCAGTACTCCATTGCTATGATGGGATATGCTCCAGAGCACGAGACGGTTGTACTTGAGTTGACATACAACTATGGTGTGACTGAGTACACAAAAGGAAATGCTTATGCGCAGGTTGATCTACTAGCGTGCATGTTTGTTTCATAGACTTACATAGAATTGAATCCTTATTCTAGCTCTTCTCCCCCTTTTTGATTATGTTGTTAAAGAGTGGCAATACTTACTGAAGGAATGATCATTCAAATTCTTTTTGGGCTCTCTAAATTTTTTTGTGTGATAATCCATGCTTTCTGGCCAAACATGAGAATATAAAAGCATCTTATGATCTTTCTTGGTAGAAGTTCCACCTGGAACAGTTTTTGGTATCACCATGGTCAAGGGTTAACCATGAACTTCACTACAAATATCTTATAGGCTGAAAACTCATGTGATTTTGTTCCAGGTTGCAATAAGCACTGATGATGTTTACAAAAGTGCCGAGGTTGTCAATCTTGTTACCCAAGAGCTCGGAGGAAAGATAACTAGACAGCCAGGACCAATTCCTGGACTCAACACTAAGATAACTTCTTTTCTGGATCCAGATGGCTGGAAAACAGTAAGTACTGGTTTCCATACGCTGTATCATTACTGCGATTTGCAAGGCATCTTAATGGGATATGAGCTCATTACTGTGTCCTTGCCTATGGTGTGTTTATGTGTAGGTGCTGGTAGATAATCAGGATTTCCTGAAGGAGCTGGAATCGTCAAAGTAACTGGTCAAGAAGATGCTTGGTTGCGTTTTACTAGATATAAATAAATTGTCAGCTGTGGTAGTTATCTTCACATGCAGATTTATGCGGATGGTTTAGCACCGTAATCAACTATTTTTAAGGACTTTTCTGAGACATTCTCGTGTGTTACAATACATATATGACCATCTTTGCCTTGTTATGAGTATATCGTACTGGTTCCTCTTCCCTTGAATTTCTATAATGAATGAAATCGTCCCATCAGCAAGTACGTTTAGTTTCTATACACCCACAGGCAGGGGCTGATGTATCGTAACTACTGCAAGTGCAGACTTGAAATTTACATCCACCTCTGCCCAGAGGAAGTGTCAATGATAACAATAAATGTTACTGTATTCTGATTCAATGGTTTTACCTTTCCAACATTTGGCGACATAATTGCAACACCTTAACATTTAGCAGCTTTGATTCATCTTTCCGTTAGCAATTAGGTATGTTATAACAATAGTTTCAGACATAGAACACTGATCAGCAAAGCAAGGTGGCTGGGGTGGGCTAATTTAACGGTCCTACTGGCCAGCTTGATAGAATTAAGTTTCTGAATAATTATTTATCAGTTGAGATCAACGGAAAACTTTGAATATTAAGACATAATATGGGTGTTTGATAACTATAAGGATTGAAGTTAAAAAGATGTATAAAACACCGCGCACTGGAATCTCGTCTCTGGGTACATTTAGCAAGTGCATCCTTTTCCTCAGCAGAGGGGGAAGTTCCAAATGAGGTAGATAAACAATCAATTTTTTTGGACATTTGAATCACTACGACCTACAATTTGATCATCAGACAAAAGCTATAGGTGAAGCAATGATAAATTGCACCTGAGATTTTCTTGCAGACAACTAGCCTAGAAAAATAGGGGGTGGGCGGGATGTAAAGAATACGAGAGCACGGGGCAGGCACAACCATGGGATTGGTAGTTCCCACCAGATAATACACATTCAACATTTTGAAGTTGGGAAACTCCTTCGCAAGTTGAATCTCCCAATATAACATACTTTTGGAAGGTAAGCAATCATAGAGCTGTGTCCATGGGATAGCAGCCAAGAACTCGAATGAATCTCGCAAATTCCTGTATAGAAGAAATGTTAACAAAATTTAGAAATGTGGTGTTCAAATCCTGCAAGCATGGCATGCCCAAAAATACAGCTGCAAAGAGAGAAAAAGTGTATAAAATAGAAGGAAAGACAACAACATTATGCCTCAATCTCTAGCGAGTTTGTGATTGGCTAGATGTATTCCGCATTGTCCTTTATAATAAGCCCGTCTTAGTTGAAAAATATAACTATTTGTACGTGTCTATGTGTGTGTGTATGTCTGTATGCATATATGTATGTATCTATGTTTACACACATGCATATATAAGTTTCTCTGACACAAGAAGGAACAGAAGGAGATAACCAAAGAAAAGGCACATGATGTTCTTAGTTCTGTTGCCCAAAACTCTACCCACAAGCAAGGCAAGAAAGCAACATTTCTCTTGGATTTTCAGACAAACATAATGATATTTGATATTACCAGAAAATTAAGTGCAGTTTGAGCATCAAGTGACGAGTAGGTGGCACAAGGCAGCAATTGCAACAATAACAAGAGAACACATGTAGATGGGAGAAATTCAAAAATAGCCTGATTTACCACTGGTCGTTGAAAAATAGCCAAGTTTCAAAAGTCATCGAAATTTAGCCACTTTAAATCTGAGCGAAAACACTGTTCAAAATCCGGAAAAATACGCCCGCAAATTTTACGGTATGCTTGAACTCCCGTAAATTTTACGGGAGTTCCAGGATAACTATGCTGGAACTCCCGCAAATTTTACGGGAGTTCAAGCATAATTATGCTGGAACTCCCGCAAATTTTACGGGAGTTCCAGCAAGTATAATTGTCCAGTATAATATACTGGAGTTTGGAGCACTGGTGCTCCAGTCTCCCGCAAATTTTACAGGAGTTAGCAAAGTACACCGGTCCACCATAATATGTTGGAGTTCGTACACAAATGCACCAGAACTCCCGTATATTATACTGGACCGGTCCCTGTTGCAGCAAAATAGTGGCTATTTTTCATTGACTTGATAAACGCTGGCTATTTTTCATTGACCAGTGTGAAAATTGGCTATACCATGATATTTTTACCATGTAGATGGTAATAGAGCCACCTTAGCAGCTTGTCTACTGTCCGAGGGGTCATATAGGAGATAGATGTACTGACCTGAAGATGACCAAGAGCATATTGAGCACGAGGTTCTGCCATCGATGCTTCAAAGTCAATGTAAAAGAGGTAGTCAAAGTACCTGCCATCAATTTTTAGTCACTTTCTCACACTCCACGACAAGACTCATATGCCTAGTTAAAATGTACCCTAGCCATGAGAAGAGAATGAAGCAACATGTGCAAGTATGTAATTGTAAAGTATCATCCTGGCATTTGATCCTTCAGTCAGCAAAGTTAAAAGGACCGGAGCTGTTGGATGTTACTCAATCATGCTATGACTTAACAAACTCATTTATGGTTTGGAAATGTGGGGAAGGAAAAGATGATAATCAACGGAAGGGAGTATTACGAAATAAATATATTGTTTGAAAAGGAAGTCATGAGGGACTAGAAAAAGTCACATTCTTGGCTGCAGAAATCCTCCCTTAACTTTTGCTTCTTCCATGAAAATTAAATAAGGAAGAACACAAATTCTAAACTTCCAATTCCACCCTTCTCTTCCCCAGCAAAATGAAAAGGATAAACAAGCACAGCCATCTGAATGACTCCTGCAATTCCATTTTTTTCAAGGCACTTGAACTATTTCTTTTTCTTTCGTTTTTGGTTTCTGGATAAGCTTTAGGCACTTGAACTGTTTTTTTTTTTTTTTAAACCCCTCCCAAATTAGGAGGATGATAGTGTTTCCACACTTCCCCTGCAGCGTGACTCGAACTGTTTATGAAGCAGTATATCTAACAATGTACCCTTAACAATTTGACCACCAGAAAATTAGAAGCAAGTACACCATGCATCAAGGCGCGCTGCAGTGGCATATTAAACATATACCAGAGGCAAGGACTAAGTTTACTCACTTGAAGGTTCATCTTTCCTCCAAATTATGCTGCTTTACCTACATGCTTCACTACTCCTCAACCTTGAAAAAGGGCTATGGGGCATGGAGTGGGACAAGGTCACAATAAGAATTTATTGTGGGAGGGAGACGACTGGTCAAATGCAACCTTAAAACATCTCGTCTTTTTTCTTCTTTCCAAAATTGCAATTGAAAAAAGATGATTTTTACGAAACCATTTTTCCCTTTAGGAAGAAATTAGCAAAAGTTGTGGGTGTAAATCCAAAATCTCAAGAGAACTATTATATCAATCAATCAACTACACTCAATGCCAAACGTCAGCTATATGAACCCTTTATAACAATTTAACTCTATTCACAAATTCAATAAAAAAGGATTCATCATAGTTAATCTATTTTTACACTGGCTTTTAGCCCAGCGTTACCCTCCTCTATTTGGGTTTGCGATTAGCTATAGTTTGCAAAACTCATGTACTGGGTGTTCAAGCTTACATTTCTCAAAATTCCTAACTGAATCGAGATAACAAATTATATTAATGGAAGCCAAGAATTATAATTGGAAGATATCCAGAGTGGGAAAAATAAATCAAACAGAGCAGACATGGTTTCAGTCAGTCACTATTCCAAGTGCTTAGCGCAAGAAACAGTTTTATTACTCACTTGGCACTTCCTTTATTGGAGTCATCTACTACCCTTAATGGGCGCTTCTTTTGAGGCCGGCTCTCAATCTGTATGAATGCAACAAAAACATATCTCAGAGCCTTTAACCAGAGAAGGGAACTACAGAAGCATTTCCAAAGAAATACCTTCGTTAAATTGATCTCTCGCAGAGCAAAAACCGCTAAGGCCTTGAATAGAACTCCAGGCCCTTCTTCCAGAGTGAAGACAATGCTAGTCTAGATGTTGGGGAATGTAAAAGGGAATATCAATTATTTGCATACACAAATAAGTCGGATGAATAAGAAATATGATATTACCTTATATGGCCTATCAGTTCCTGGAATTATGGGCTCCCTTGCTAGTATCAGAAATCTAGTTATATTATCTTGATCATCCTGGTTAGTTGGTCATTCAAATAAACTCATATTACTGAAGTTTTACAGCAGACTACAGCAAATATATCTGACATATAGCTTTGCAGTTTTTAGCTGCATCTGCTTGGTCAAGAGGGTAGAATAATTTGCATGTAATTGTGATAAAGATGCTAAAAGCAGACAAAAGATTTAAACAATTAAACATCTTCTACCGTCGAGAACGAGTAGGCCACTGACTGCCTTGATAACTATGTTCTTAGATACAGGCATATAAATGTTGTCGAACCCATAATTTCAACAGTACAATGAGTTCGGTGCAAGATTGGACCCATTAAATTTAAATACTGGAATCGCCTCTAGATACAGGTGTAGGTATCTGACACTGGTGCGGATCTAGAGACCTGATTCGTCATCACATGAAATTAGGATTCAGAGGTGTATGTCGGCACATTTTTTTGTTGAAAAATTACTACTTAATATTTTCAGTCAACAATGTAATTTGACTCGACTTCTATTTAATTAAGTTAAATGACCAATGATTATTGTGTAATTATGACTTGACTTTCTATGTTTAATTAATTATCCAGAGTTTACTAGTTACTATTCAACTTCATCGACGGGTGCTGGGATATGACTTGAATATTTGGAGAAATCGACATGGGTGTGGTGGTTCATAGAGCAAGAGATGAAGCTCAAAAGTTTCAAATACAGCCACGAGGTTTGAACTCAAACCTAGAAGCATTACTATCTGCAACAAAAATGTGTATATTGATGCTGAGCGTTGACAAGGAAGAATTATCCTTGAATAACCTCGCCACACCCCAAAACACCATCTTCGTAGTTTAACTATTTTGATGCTGGCCATTTACCATACTCCTAATTTATCTGGAGTTGTGCCCAAACACCAATGGAGATGAAATGTTTTAGCAGACAAGGTTCACAACCAGAACTGCCTCTGAAAGTTCATTCCTTCTTTTCCCAGATTACCAAAATGAAACAGATGCATCCTCATTTTGACGTGCATGCAAACTTCTTATAGGAAATATATTTCTTGCTCGTTACATGATCTGTTTCTTCACTAATCAATTCTGTCTATATTGCTAGCTTTTACTCCTTAAGTTTCACATGGTTCCATGTGAAGATAGAGACAAGAATTGAAGGGCTAATAAGAAGTGTGCAAACTATATCTTCTGTAAACAACATTATTTACAATATTAGAGCAGCTCGGTGCACGAAGCATCTCGCGTTCACGCAGGGGCGGATGTAGAGCAGATGGAACGGGTTCCTTTGAACCCAGTAACTTTTGCATAGACCCAGTATTTATACTAAAAAATCATTAAAAGTATAAGAATATTTAGCTTGGAACCTAGTTCGTTAGTCCAGTTATCATGTAGATTAACTTGAGATTGTTATAGGAACTCATAAGCTTAAAATTCTGGATCCGCCTCTGCGTTCACGCAGGGTCCGGGGAAGGGCCGCACCCCAATGGGATGCGATGTAGGCAGCCTACCCTGATGCAAGCATCAGCGGCTGATTCCACAGCTCGAACCCATGACCCATAGGTCAGACAGAGACAACTTCACCGTTGCTCCAAGGCTCCCCTTCATAGGGATAACTATAGTGAGGAAAAAAGAAAGATTAATTACGAGCAATATCCTGTCTCACACTTTTAGAGTAACGAATAACTTTACCAAAATGAACCACTTAGCAATCAGGTTTACATCACTTAACAAAGGAAATAACTTCCTCTGACCCTTCTGGCAATTTGAGATAAAAGATGAAAGGGAACTAGCAATCCCCATGGTGGAGTCTTGTCATCCCACACATAAATCAAGCAAAACGATGGGTGCAATTAACAAGAACTATAAATAAAAAAACTGGTAAAATTTTTACATTCTTCTTTTTCTGTAGGAAACCTCTAAACCCTCCAGGAATTGGTGAATTCATGAACCAGGAAAACGTCCCATGCTCCAGCAAATCTAAACCCTTAAGTCTTAACATTCTGGAGTCGTGTCACATCATCGAAGGTCAGCCAAAATCCTCAAGAGAGTTATTGGTCGATATGCAGTCTAAGCAGATGCTATTATGTTATGGACATATAAACACACTGGATATTCATATATTCAAGTCATGAGGCGCCCAGACCGGCAGCGAATGTGGCTCAAGACCTAAATTACTAAAAAGAAAATCAAATGCAATTTCAAAAGATACAAAGATGACATGCAGTAAAGAGTAAACACAGAAGGAAAACCTCAGAAATGCAAAATCTTTACCTGAATTCTTTCTGCAAGAATGCTAAGCCCATAAATCTCTGCAGCTCGAGCACTTGCAACTGCTCCAGTATCTCTCGTCCCTTCAGATGCCACAATCTGTCCAGGTGTCAAATAATGTGGAAACACAAACCGCAGAGAATGAGTGAGAATTTAAGGTGTACCTGAGCAGCACTGGCAGTATCATCACCATTGACCCTTGTAACACCTAACTTATTTAACGTAATGTTGCATTGTTCAAGTGCCTGAAAGCAATTACTGGTTGTATTAACGTTTACTAAATAGAAATGGAAGCCGATATTCAATGTGCGAAACTAAAGGAAGTTACTGTTTTCTTATATAAAAAGAAAAAGAACTTGGGTCTAACTTAACCCCAAAAGCTAATCCAGTATTTCTATATCTTCCCACGATTAATGAGGAGAAAAAAGAGATTCTTCTGAATAATGAAATGAAACAATTACCTGAGGGTGGCTCACGACGCGCTTTAGTTCCTCTTTCCTGACTCCTGGCAACCCCAAAAGGCAGTGGTTAACAACCAACTGCACTTCTCCCACAATATGCAGCCTATGCCGAAGGAGTAGATCGTAGTTACGGTGGATGCTCCCACCAACTGAGTTTTCAATTGGGAGTACAGCTTTGTCTACTAACCACAACTCAACTGCCTGAGAAATGAGAACTAATACTTTAAAGGCGTGACAAACTGCGGGAACAAAATCACTTTGGTTGAATAACACAAATACCTTAAATGCAGCCTCAAACTGGTCACATGGTACAGTTTCACATTTCGGGTATGCTTTAAGTGCAGCTGCCTCACTATATGCACCTGGAATTCCCTACGTTAGACAAAGAAGGATTAATTTATGAGGAATCTCATTTAAGAATAAAATTAAAAAAGTTAAGAGAATGAAGGCCCTTGCTGTCTACCTGATAGGCAACTCGGACCTTTGAACCATCACCCTGACCAAAGGAAGGACCAGTTGCAGATAAGGGTTCTGAAATAAAAAACAATATTGGGCGTCATGATTTAGATAAAAATGGAAGGAACTGAATAATCCCATGAACACAAGAATTTAATTTGATAAAATTTAGTGCGTCGGACTATTTAGTAGCCAAATGATTTCTTGACATTTTCATCCATGACAAAGTGTACATTACATTAACCCATTATTGAAAGAGGTTATTGCCTACATTTCAGTTGTAGCTTCCATGATAATATGGAGTAAATGAAATCTGAAAAGACATCTATAGAAATGCACACATCGTCTACATCATGGTGAATGAATATGTTCTACCAAACATTTTTTTTTCTTGTTCACTGTCAACAGAGGCAACAAATTGAAGTTATATTCCTCTAACTTAAGTAACTTTTTTGTGGCTGCTGAAAATATAAGGTCATATATTTGAGGAGAAATGTCAAATGCATGGTACAGGAAGAAAACAATAAGGACCCAAAAATGGCACTAAGGTAACATGGTCTTTGATATAACTAGATCTGATAAGACAATGACATGGACTGAGAAAAGGTTCCAACTTTATGCAAAGATCAATCTTTTTCATCCAATTCTAACATTTAATCATAACAAACACCTCCTTTTTTACCATTCTAAAAGAACCCCCCAAGTCTATTCTCATTCTGTGACAATCCCACCAACTGTAGAACCTAAAAAAGTAATACTCCCCTCTAAAAAGACTTCATTTTTTTTCTGAATTTGTCTCAAATCACTAAAGGCAAGAAATTCTGAATAACACAATACCAAATTACCCAACATTAAAATAAAATGAAAAAACTAACTTGGTAAAGATTGTAAATCCCTGTGAAATCTTTTGGAGTGAGTGATCTGTGTGTCTTCAGCACCAGCAGGAGAAGTTAATGGCTCCTCATCTTCCACAGGAGTGATTGCTCTCTCACTCAACAAAACCAAACATTCCCATTTCCTAAAGGGCCTGAAATTCAAGAAATTTGACCCAGAAAGCCTAGACCCATAATCTGGAAAACCCAATTTCAAAGATTTAGGGTAAGTACAACAATGCTGCTGATTGGTACCACAGGCCCAAATTGGCACAGTTTTCAAAGCCATGATGTTTCAGTGTAGTACCACTCCCAATGTGGTGAAAAATGAGCATACAAATTCAGACACATCAGACTAATGTGACACAAAGATAAGACAGTGTCCTATGTTGTCTTATTTAGTTTCTTGAATTTTTTCTATGAAATTTGTCTCAGTTAAGAACGGTCAAAATGAATAAAAATTCTTGGGAAACTGAGGAGAAAAAAGATGTAGAAATGGTGGAGAGGTAGGTAAGAAGAATGTTGGCTACACGTTTTCAATGGTTGTAACAGAGTCTTGAAAAGGAGACGGCCTACATTGGAAAACCAGTTGAATGGAAAAACCTCTGCATTTACGCAGTCCTAAGATTAAAAGGAGCTCATATTTAATACATTGGTCAAAAACTTCTATACTAGTATCAGATTTCTTATAAATCAAATTAAGATAATTTGTTTTATAGTAAGGTACTTATTATTTAAAACAGTTAATACTATATGGATAAACTGTTTATCAATTGGTTGATTATGAAAAATATTCTACCACTAGAGCAACCTTTTGCCAGCGTCGAGGTTTTCAATTTTAGTATGTATTTATGTACCAACATTTCTTAATTTAAAGCCATATGGGAACAAATAAAAGAAATGCAGAAAATACCAATAACGAACAAGATCAGTTGAATGCTACTCTTGCGTTAGAACGCATTCAATCCGTATTTTTCTTATTTTAAACTATACTATTAGGGTGTCAAATGGGCGGATTGGGTTAATTTTGGGCCGATCAAAATGGATTGAGTCAATGATTGGACAGGACAAATGATCCGCCCAAAAATTACTTGGGCTAAGATGGATTGGGTCAAAATGAGCTAAAATTTGGATCATAGCCCAACCCGCCAACTCTTATCCTGCATTCCTTTACGGGATTTTTTCCTTCCTATACCATATATGAAAGTTTATTACCAAAAATGTGCATATTTTGTATATTACCCGCCTAGTCCACATTTTACCTACAAAATTTGTACCATTCGACTATTAGGCATTAAAGGAGCAGAATATTCCCTAAAAAACGCGCTAAAATTAAGGAGAGAATCTTGGTGATAATTGATTCTACATTAAATTTAATTTTTAAAAAGGGAAAGGAGATTTCTCATCTGCGTTTTTTTCTCTAGAACTACAATTCAAATTCTGGAAAAAAAAAAGAACGAACGGCTCCTAAAAATAAGAACATATTCAACTACTAAGAGTTTCGACGAGCTGAATTCAAATTGTAGAATTCAAAATTTTCGAGTTTCAACAACTCAAAGTTGAAAAAATTTGTTCTTCGTCGTTGCTTCTATCAAATTATCGATCAGATATATCTCTTCTTTATCTTTTCTTCTTTCAATCTAGAAATCCAAAGAAAACATCAACATCAACAACAAATCATGTCCAAAATCGCAATCATGCTACAATTTAATGGGGATTGGGATAATTATGGCAGATTTAGAGATTTTGAAGTTGATGTCATTGTGGTAGATGAGAATGCAAGCTACAGTATCCTGATTTCTACAATTGCAGAACAAGTATCAATTGATACTACAAAAAAAATTTGTAGAAATCAAATACATCGTGAAATCAAATAGTAGATTGTATATAATTTGTAGACAAATTGTAGTTAATTTGTAGATTGTAGATAATTTGTAGATATAATTGTAGATGCGTTGTAGATAAACTATTTTATGATTGTAAATATTTTTATTGCTGTTTGTTATGTAATTCTAGGTGAGGGCTTCAACAGATCATATCCATACTGTGATAGATGGTGTGAAGCGGTACACGAATCCTACATTATAACTACTATTAACTACAAAAACTCTACAATTATGTATAAAAACCAGTTCTACAATTCAAACAAATTTACCTACAGTTTACCTACAGTGAATGTACAAATTACCTACAGTTTAAGTACCTAATATAAGAATAACTACAATTTACCTACAGTTACAGGGCAAACAGGAAACACATCATCCACAATCATGTCTACATTATATCTACACTTTAGACTACAATTAATCTTGGAATGTTTCACATAAACTACAAACTAACTACAATTACACTACAAACAGTAAATCTAGGTGAAGGCTTCAACAAATCATATCCATTACACTAAATCTACAATTACACTACAATTACACTACAATTACACTGCAATTACACTACAAATACACGACAAACAGCAAATCTAGGTGAGGGCTTCAACAGTCAGTATTTCTAAGTCGTTTGGAGAAGTTGTCGGCAGCTTTTCATATTAGTCTCTTTACCAATAAATTTATCATTTTTGACTTTTCCAAAAGAGGGAATTTTGTTTGGTACCCAAAAAAAAAAAACTACTAAAGTGTATTTGTTTTCATTGTTTTGCTAGTTCGTGGCGTATTAAAATGTTTGTTGCAACTTTTGATTTCATGTAGACTTTCAGAAAATCAGATCACATGCCACAATTGTTGCAGAGGAAATTGGCACGACATTCAAATATAATGAGATCTCGCTGGCTAATGCATCTCAAAGACATCTTTCGTTGATTGATCTTGCAATCGTGGATGAAGAACAAGAAAGAATGTGGGGTTGGGTAAAAACGTGGGTGAGGGGTAAGGAGAGAGAAACGTGAGATATATGGATACCTTAAATTAAGGAGTAAAAACTGCTCATTAATTAGATATGGATACCTTTAATTAAGGAGTAAAAATAGCCATTAATTAAACCCTTAATTAAGTATTGTATAGGATTAGTAATTTGGTATACTAAGTGTAATTTACTCAAACCTTAAACATGTAGGGTAAAAAAGTTTTCTATGTGGTATAGGAATGTAAAAATTCCTTTACTTAATTTGTGTTGTTTTCTTATGAATTGTATAATTACTAAATAAGACTTTTTTTCTTTTGTTATGGTCATATATTACATATCAAACAAAAAAATTAATTCTAAGATATTTTGATAAAGTTACTTATGGATCAATTTGGGCAAAAAATTAACTCAACTTTAAATGTGTTAAGATGAGTTGAGTCAAAATAAACTGAATAAGTCAATGATCAGCCCAACCTTGGGCGGGTTAGGCGGATCATTTGGGCTGGGGCCAAATTGACCGCCCTAGCTACTACGATTTAAAAAAAAAAGTGGTTTGGTTGGTGCTTTTATTTTGGAAATTTGGTGGAGGTTGGAAGATGACGCTTAGCCAAATTCACCTATGTGGTTGTAACTTCTGACAAATCGACTAACTTCTGGTATTTGACTAGCTATTTTTTATGTTACGAAATTTAAATGCAGTTCATGTATTTGTCCCTTTTGCATTTACTCATCTTGAAATACTTTTTAGAAGTTTGTTATGAAGGCATAATTATCGTTTAAAGGAAAAAACTTCGGATCCCAACAAAAAAATGACTTACTTTAGTACTATCTACTGCACATTTTTTAGTTTGGGATACTTTTAATGAAATAAAAACAATATTTGTTCAGATTTTCCTTTTTTTTCTCTTGTATCAAAGAAAAGAAAATTTAAATAAAAAAAAAAAGGCAAAGAGAGGGTGAAACTTGAGAGATAGCTCCCAACTAGTTATATATATATATATATATATATATATATATATATATATATATATATATATATATATATATATATATATATATNTATATATATATATATATATCATTTCCTCTTATTAGACCATTCCATTTTTATTTCTCTACTTGAGCCTCTCCAGAAAAAAGAAAAGACAAAAAGAGTGACGGTGTACAAAACTTGTCACATACCAATATGTGCGGACCTATTTTAGTCCAAGAAGATTCAATTCAATTCCTATAACGGAGAAGTGCTTTGTTCCATTAATAAATTGCTTTTTATTAAAAAATAAATGTATGTAAAATTGAATTTTCTTGCCACAAATAATATCTCCATAATAATGTAGTTTAAAAATATGTGTAAGATCTTTTGTTTGAGCTCTAGTAGCCCCACCTCTGCTATTCCTTTTAATCCTTTTAATGTGAAATTCTTATTTCAAAAAAAAAAAAAAAAAAAAAAAAACTGGACCCATATATTGTTTAAAAAATCCTTATAAATTACTTTTTACGTCTCAATTTATGTGTCGATTTTCGGAATTGGGAGTCAAATAAATTATTTTTTTAACATAATTTTTTTATATGCCTTTTAAATATTTTAGATTATTATTTAAATATTTTAGATTATTATTGACGACATATAGTATTTTTTACATAATTTTCAAATATTCTAAATTTTATTTCAAAAAAATTAAGGATTCTATATCCAAATACACAATCAAAATTAAGAATTTGAATCTCGAAAATTGAAAATTACCACATAAATTGAGATAAATGAAGTTAATAGTAACAACAAACAAGTACTCACAGCCCCTTAGGATTATACTCAATTGATGGTCCAAAGGGCACCATGACAATATAGGCAATTGGGCACTTCTATTCAATGGTAACCCTCCGGTTCAAAATAAGTGATTTTTTAGCTTTTTCTTGTGGTTCAAAATAAGTAATCTTTTTAGATTTTAAGAATCAATTTATTATTTTTGTCCTACATTGTCCTTGGAGTAAATAGTGTTGGAGTATGTGTTAGGAGTATTTATGTGAAGAGATAATAAAAGTTAATATGATCAATTTTATTGCTAATTAATGTTAAAAGGGGAATTTCTTAATCTGTGTGAAAACAACTAAAAAATCACTTATTTTGAACTGGAGGGATTAGTACACTAGCTAGTATAGTACCTAGTTTAAATTCAAAAAAACTTTAATTTAGAGAAGTTTGTCGAATGCATGTGGTATTGCCTTTAGGAGTCGTTTGGTAGGAAGTATTAGAATAGTGCTGAATATGGTATATTAGTAATGGTGGTAGTAATGATGCTGAAATTAGTTATGCTGTCATTATATCTTATCAACTGTCATTAGTTATGCCAAGATTTTATATATATTAAAGCATTGCATAATTTCTTAAAAAATTAGTTGTTTACAAAAATATTCTCCACATTCTTTAACTTTATACACTTTGAGGGGTTTGAGGGGCAATTATGTATTTAACCATGTTTATGCAGGTATTAAAAACTCTTGCATTGTTAATACCATGGTTTGCTATGTATTTGTTATATATAGGATAATACCAAATAGAATGTATAACTAATACAAGTATTAGGGGTCGTTTGGTAGGAAGCATTAGAGAAAATAATGCATGCATTAGCTTTTGGTATTACTAATCTCTTGTTAGTAGTATATTTTTCAACCTATGTATTACTAATGCAAGTATTAGTTATACAACCTATTTGGTATTATCCCATATATAACTAATAGAATACATAGCAAATCATGGCATTAGCAATACTAAGGCTAGGGGTGTCAAATGGGCGGGTTGGATCAATTTTA